TATATATAAGATCCTGCTTCGAAGAACTATGAGGTATGAGGGCCACTTACACAGCTTTCCCGGTCCACTGTCCCGACTGGTCCAGATGAGTTCCATCACACCAATTGTTTATCGAAACACAAACACACCCATGTTACACACTTCGACTCTGAAGATGGATGGAGCGTGTACCCCCGAAACATCTACAGCATCCCCTACATCCATACAGTGTAAGAATCGAAGAAAGGGATTAACATCAAAATACGAGTATATGTCACTAATACCTAAAATATATATGTCGTGGCATGTAAACTGGTAGTTAAGAAAAGGTTCTAGCACAGTTACATGTACTCGTTACAGCCTAGCACAAATTGTCTTAACTGCCTCAGATGGTTTATGCTGTTTGGTTTATATAGTCTGTCTTGTTTTGGTTCTCGTGTTCTAGAGATAGGGACTAACTCTATCGACTGACCCCAGCTGAGTAGGATTTTACTCAAGGACGAAGACAAAGTCCTGTCTCCGAAACATTGTTTCCAGACAAAAAACACGACGGTGGATAATGTCCAAAAGGCCAGTAATTTTATTAATATACTCTCGGCACAAACTTTTAGATCATACCTACACAAATATCCTCAGAAATCATCTCTCGAAAAGATTATACAACAATGGATACGTAACTAATTACAGTATACCAAGGACAGAGTTAGCAAATAGCGGAGTTCACATCGGTCAACAGTCCACAGGATATCTCCTGAGCTGCAGTCAATACATGCCAGTCATTATTTAATTCGAGTGCAGTTGACAGGATTTTCATATGGGTTGTGAAACTGAAATTTCAGCTTATATGCCTTTTCCAAAAAATGAAAAAAGCGTCCTGGGTGGAATTTTTGTTGGGGTAATGGAAATTACATTTGAACAACTGTCATTTCCAACTCCAACACTGAATATTTCCAGTGGCTCTTTAATTTTATTACTAAAGAAAAGTCAGGATGCTAATGTTTCTTAATAACGAAAATGAATATTCGTATAAACAGAAGTTTATTTTGTTTATGGCTATTTGACGAAACTTTGATTGGGTTTTATTATATAAAGTCAAATTATAGGATGATTACTGAATAACGTATTGGAAAGAATATGAAAAGATGGCGGCTGCCGTGACCTAATTTGAGTCACTCTCCAGACATCCGCCTGGAAGAGCTGAGGAAAATCACGGAAGAGCATCAGCCAGGATAGGCTGTCTCCAGGCACAGATTTAAATCTGCACCTCCCGAGTAGGAGTGAAATTAAATCGATTATGACATTCGGTAATAAATTTAAGTTACAAAACCTTGTTCATCCCTATTGTAACTTCCATTATCTCCTCACTTTTGGAAACAGATTTCCAATGCCATGTTTTATAAAAAATGAATTGATACAATGTATATTATCACATACTGCCATCCTAGTAAGATGAGCGTAATATTCAGCATTATCATTTTTAGTACAGAAGTAACTTTACAAGATTTTGGTTTCCCTCAATGTTTATGAATTCTTACTGCATAAATATGCAAAATATTCATAGCTATAGACACTTAGATTAGTCACAGCAGCTGCATAAATTACTGATCAGGGCCAGAACTGGAAGGAAAAATCACATCCTCTAGCACAAGACAGAACGGAGGCTGTCTGGTCAGACAAGAAATAAATAAAACTAAAGTGAGAAGCAGCTGAGAAGCAGCAGCAGAAGAAACTGAACTTACTGTCTGCAGTGATGCAGAAAGCAAGAGAGAAAATAGCACAGTATTATGTTACATTCAGTCCATAAAGGAATCTCAGTGTTTAGCAACAGAAGTGATTTTAAATTTCTGAAATATTACCTTTTCCATAAATGGCAGTAACATTTACAGTGTCGAATTAACTGAAATATTTCAGTTATAGATGCAGCTTGTTCTGAACTGGTTGGTAAAATTCTGATGACATTTGTCCTTATTTTCACATCTGTAACAACAAGATTTGGCCCTCCTTTCAGTCTCATGAGTGCTATGGATGCTTTCCCTCATAGCAATGATAGCCATCCTAGTGTAAACACCTCGCAAACATTAACCTTACCATCATGTCCCCACTATAACCTGCTGGAGTGATGTTCACCATTGAATGAACGGCAAAATATAGCATATTCCATTAACGAAAAATGCATCTTTATTACAAAAATTCAAGTACGAAGAACACTTTCTTCCCCATTTAACTAGCATGAGTGGTAAAATCCTAACATACAGAGACTTCGGACTTTATCCATCGTCCTGGTTTTAAGATAACTAAGAAAAACACGACGTTTCGGAAACTGGATCTGTTTCCGTCCTCAGGTGAGGGAAAACACTATTCTGTTGGGTCCCTTAGAAAGACTGAGGCTAGCTCTTTCTAAGGGACCCAACAGAATAGGTGTTTTCCGTCACCTGAGGACGGAAACAGATCCAGTTTCCGAAACGTCGTGTTTTTCTTAGTTATCTTAAAACCAGGACGATGGATAAAGTCCGAAAACCCAATATCTCTGTGTGTTATACACCACCATCAGAATCCTATAGTAACTACTTAAATCCTAACATGTTTCAGACTAATAATTTAATTCTTTATTCAAAAGTTGAATCCCTTGAAAGCAAGTCAGTGAATCAGTATGAATATGATGATTGTCTATTCCCATGCAATTTCCTTTTGGAGATGCTTTATTGAAGGTGTCAAGTGTGGGCCACCATCTGGTGTATGGATAACTGATTCTGGCAAGAAATGTTAAAAGTGAGATGACGCGTATTTTCCAGGCTTCAGGAAAGTAATGATGATAAATTATGGAGAAAATTGATCCATGAGAGCTACGAGGTACTTGTAGACATTTTCCTCATACCATACATCAGTACTGCTGCTGTTGCTATTGCT